CCCAATTAGCAGCTTCTCTGGCTAGTCTGGTTCACTTTCAAGTCATCCCAACCCTCCCCTGATGAGACCCTGACATTGGGACCAAGGGCCTTCTACCTCCATCTGCCACTGGAGACGTATGACTATCAAAGCAGCCAGGCCTGCAGTTTTAAAGCCAGGGCACCCAAACTTTGCAACGCAAAAGTTGTACTGGCATTTTACAAAGTGCTCCAGAGTTTTATACAACTTGTGTTTACAATTTGCCATTTTAACCACACACAAAAAAGGGTGCGTGACCATAAAATCCAGTGCCCTGTTCCGCTCACCGCTAAATGACCATAGCTGCTCAAAGCACACCACAGTGGAAACCTTTCACTGGGTAGCTTTACTCTCATCTTGTGGATACAGAGAAAAATAAATCATGAATTGCATTTAAGGACTGCATGAGCCACCAGATGACCTGAAAGCCTCACTTAGTGCCAGGACACCCAATAACTGTAACGGGGCAGGGTGGTGTCAGCAGAGAAAGCTTCTCACATAATGTGCTATGACGACACCCAGTAAGGGCTGAGGGTCCACTATGCTAGGTACTACAGTCACGCCGACACATGAATCTTTACCAGAGTTTGCAATCCGAATATGGAGACAGACTACGGGGCTATAGAACACATTAGAACTTTTTTTAAAGCAAATCCTATGCCTAATTTTGAACCAGCTACTCCAAAACATCACCGTCATTTTATAGATGAAGATATGAAAAAGACAAGGAAAGCGACTTCCTCCAGAATACGAGGGAGGTAATACAAGTGCCGGAAGCAAACTTTGGGATTTGCTTGCCTATGGGCCCAGGTTCAGAGTTTGAGAGCATGGAATGAGTAGCCAACCTTTCAAGCATGGTCTGCAATCTCCGCATGCTTCAGTGCTTGGTGAGAAGAGTCAAGCACTCCTAAAAAAAAAGTCAATGGAAACAGGAGTTGCCCGGTATGCAAAAAACTCACAGCCATGACACAGTGAGTTGCTCACGTGGGTGTCTGCAGGAGCACAAGCACCCTCCATCTACTATTCAGATCCAAATGAGGCTTCTTCTAAGCCTCGTTAAAAAATAAGAGTTCTTTCTGGCTTTGAGAATGGAAAAAGTTATGGAACTAGATTATGGGAGGTGGGAGCTGGCACCATTACAATGGCAGTGTGCAATGATGCTTACCTGTTGGATGCCAGAAGGCCTGTAGGTAACACAAAGCAGCTGAATGCACTCGTCAGTACAGAGCTGGGCTCATCCACCAGCATCAGGGTCCTTCAGTGGGATCCAGCAGCCTAAGACTAGAAGGGGAAAACTGTGTGCTAGGGAAGCAGTGCAGTCCAGGGGTTTAAGTCAGGATTTACAGGATCTATTCCCACTTCTACTGCCAGATAACTCATGGCAAGCCAGCTACCATCTACGATTCAGCTGATCCGTCTCTGGAGAGAGCAGTAATGTGGCCTTCCGCATCAAGTAGGATGCACAAAGCTCAGCAACTGACCCTTGTGGCAGCTGACTCAAAGATAGCAGAGTTTGGGTCTTTATGGTATCATGCCCAAGTTCTCCAAGAGTTTCTTTACCAGACAGGTCACATTTCTCTGGGATTCATTCCAAAGACCTTGAAAAACTCTGCAACAGCCTGGATTTACTCAGAGGCTTTGCTAACTCTGGTTTCAGGTGCAACTTTGGCTTCAACTTCCATCATGAAGCGGAAACCCCATGAGTTGCACGCGCTTTGGGCTTCGTTGCAGACCATTTACTTTGGATCCCGGCATGTGACTTCATTGACTTTAACGGGCCTTGCGGTCATCAGATAGAAGATACTGTGGAAATGCTGAGGACAGCTTTCGAAAGAAACCTGAAGTGTTCCCTCTGTTTTCCTTTGTTATAAAACACCAAAAGCGGCACTCACAAGTTTCCCAAGGAAACCTGTCCTGTTCTCAGAGACCTCGGGGCTGGGGCATGGGGTCTAGCAGTTAGCAAAGAGAAGTGCGTGCTTGGGAGTAGGGTGACAGAAGAAAAGATTTTGGGGGTGGTGGAAAAAAAAAACCCAACAACTTTAAAAGCAGACCCTGCTCACCTTCTGCCTTCCCCCAAGCTACGGAAGAGTCACATCAGCGAAGCCCCGCAGAGGGAGCTTTCCAAGTATGCTAAAATGATAACTGCTACTGCCATAGAAATGAGAAGAATGGAGCAGGACCTCCTGCCGTGTTAGGGGCAAAACAGCAAAAATTAGTCCTGTCCAACAAACTTTCAGGTTAAAGTGAGACACAGCAGGGGGGATGCAGAGAGAGAGCAGGAAGAACAGGGACAGGAGACAATACTGGTCAATATTCCTGCTCGGGGCACAATACGGAGCGGCAGCAAGCTCAAGAGAATCACTGCTAGGACAACTGGGGGGTGGACAGAAGATGCATGAACACTAGCAAAATCTGTTGTTAGACTGGTGTAAGTGTGGAGCAGAGGCACAGGCAGCACTACACCAGTCTTTGGGTGAAGGTTATTCCTTTGCAATTCAGGATGCACAATGATGTACAGGTCACGTGTCTGCTGTTATTCCACCCTCCACCCTTACGCAAGTTTATTCGAGCATAAGGCTTCCCAAATAAATTTGTTCCACTCTAGAAAACAGATAGAAGCTGACAAGCCACGCTCAATACGACTGTCAAATAATCTGACAGGAGACAACATACCCTTCAAAGACGTCTCTCTTGTAAACGCAACCCTAGGAGCTTTTGACTGATGAATGAAGTGCTGCAAACAGGAACTTGTTCGGTGGCAGCCCTGTCTTGTATTAGTCAGCCCTGGCAGAAGATCATTCATAAAGTTGCTGGAACAGCATCCTTCACACAACTTCAGCATCCTAAACAGGCAGCTCATTTATGGGATTAACTACTCTGTTGCATTTTAAATGCCATTTGCATATTGTTTTTGACAGAAAGGTGACGTTCAAGTGATTTAGGTGGTGGCTGTTTGGGCTGAGTAATTTGTTAAAGCATTTCAGAGCCGAGCCATGTTAAAAATATAGTTTTCACTTTATTACTGGCAGGGCTACCCTTGGAATCAAGTAGCTTGTAGATTCGCAAAAGACTCCTGGAATCAGTGTTTGTTCCAGGCTGAATTTTTGAGAAAGGGCCTTTCTGAGAATGAAGTTTGGGAAAAATAGGTTTTACCTACAAAAAAAAAAAACAAAAAACCCAGAGAGGTCTTCTGCAGAGTGCCTGAATTTATCCTCAGCTTTAAATTTGGCAGGAGTGGTATTTCCATCAGGGTTAGACCTCTTCACCCCAGAACGGAGGCAACAGAAAAAAGGTTTCTGTGCCCACAAAAGGCTCGTTCGTGCTACTGCAGTGGCTGGTCCCAGGGAGAAAAGGGCTGAGCCTACCCAGATCCGAAAGTACGCTTCAGACTGGAAGGTCACCAGGCTCGTCTGCGGAGGCTGCTCTAAGACCTACCAGAGATGAACCTGGCACAGCCTCACTGGGTATCTTCCAGATCTGGAGCGCTTCAGTAGACTCGGATAGGTCTGGTGTGAACAGGGCACACGCCACCCTGCCCTTCCCAGCACTTGTCACCGCAGCAGCATAGACGAGCCCTACAGCATACTCTTTTCAGACCCTGGAAATAATCTAGGAGTCCTTCCTCTTCCCATTCCTCTGTCAGCCGCCAGCAGCTGTGAAGCCCAGCAGAGTCTGTATATCCCCTTTCCCGCGCTGGTCCACAGTGCAATAATAGTTTGTCGCTCTGTATCGGTTGCTCCGCCAGCTCAAGGGGCTTTGACCTGTTTCGTGGATCTAAGAGCTCCCACCCAAGCGGTGAACCAATGGTGGGGTCAACATGACAACAGCTGGGTTTTTCAGGGGGGGTTTGGACAAACTATCCTGGACCACTACAGTCAGAAAGCACAAGTCAAAGCCTGACTGTGCCATCTTGATTCAGCCCCCTGTGCATACCAAATATGCCCATTTATTACATACAGGCACGCTCCCCAACAGAAACCCTGCTTCACTCACCATGCAGGATGTTCAAGTGAGTTCTGTCCAAGGAACTGCTCAATACGTGTTTTATCTTGATGAATCAAAGTGGCCCTTATTTACTACGCAGTCTTCAAACCCTGCCCTGAAGTCAGAAGTATTAACTTCTGCATAGACCTTTCTATGGTACTTATCTTAATATCCCAATACTTCATAAACGTTTAAGTTAAAATAAGCCTGGTAAGGCTAAGAGAATGACTTCATCTTCATTTTACAGGTAGATGTGAGGCACTGAGATAGATGAGCCAAAAGTAATCGGGCTACATGACTATGAATCGCATCAAATCAGAAAAGAAGAAAAGTAAGTTGCTTTGTCTTTGTCCAGGTATTTCCGCACGCATCTTTTCTTGTTTGCATTTGTAGGAAAGAATCCTGAACCTCAACAAAATGAACCTAGGCTTTTTTATTAGATTTTTACTTTTCAGATTTGGATCAAAACAAAAGGCCAGAATTAGAAAACAAGCAGCATATCTACCATTCATATAGTTCAATCGGTGAGCTATAAATTATTGCCAAGTTCCTCAACATATATACATGGAAGCCAACAAGACACAAAGATTAATAAATCTACCATATCTTGCTATAACACATGATATATACCTTTTCACGAGACATTTGTTAAATACGACTACCAATTACAGAGGCAGACAGGCTTCCGCACAACTTAAGTTGCAGCTTTGCTTGCCACGTTTACCAGAAACTCTCCATAAAGCACAGACGTTGAGCGGTTGAATAGCAGAAATGCAAGTAACCACACATAATTGCATCTGTCAGTACAGACACAAGAGATGCCATTGCTCACCCCATATTCCTATCTTCTACTGCTGCTGATTCCAACAAGAGGACCCCCACCCCCCAGGAAAAAAAAGCATTACGATTTGGAGAGCTCTTAAAAAGAAAAATCCATGTGATCTGGTTCTGCTCAAAACCAGACATATGTCATCCCCAAATGGAAACATTTTACTCACCAGTTGATCTCGTTGTAGTCATTATGAACTTCCCACCAGAAATAAAACCAGATCAGCGTCAGGAAGAAAGTGAAGGTGAGGATTAGAAACCAGAGACGCTCCCACTGTGAAAGTGAAAAGGTGAATGTTAATAAGTACTCCGACACTGAAAGGGAAGGGATTACAGTCATAAACCTCACCTACATGCAGTATTTCTATACAGATCCAACTGAATAAAGTTTAGAAAAAAATCATTTAGTTCAATTCATGCAACCCCCTCCCCCTCCCAATGCAGTTGCACTGTATCCCGATGTTGCTCACCTTGATCAATTTACAAACTACTTCGGTATGGATACCATTACGCCAGGAGAAGGGCATCTACTCCCAAAAGATGCATCGAAGTAACTTTGGGTGAATCTAATATCTTGTATTAGACTAACTTAATGTAACTTCTCACATCATCTGGAGCTTTCTATCAGTTTAGCTCAATCAGTAGAACAAAGCAGGCAGACCAGGCCTAAGATTGGTTGTTGCATGGAAAGCGAATCTCCCGAATTCACTATACGCCTATAAAAGCCTTTTCTCCTCCAAAATACTTCAACCTCCCTGGTTAAAGGGGACAAGTTTGTTCTCTGTTGGACAAAATGTGTCATGCCTCCTGTATCTATGTGCTCACTCTGGCAATACCAGGGCATAACTAAGTACTGGGGCATAAGAACAGAGGTGGAAGCCAAGGGACCTGGATCTTGTTCCCACCTCTGCCACAAAAATTGTCAAACGATACACGGCAAGTCACTTATTCGGTTAACTCGGTCACTCCTCCCCACCCCACTGTGGAAGACGAGGGTAATCCTGACCGCCATCCACCTCTTAAAGGCACTAGGAGACGTTGTTTACTTATGGTATAAAAGGACTTTGAGATGCTGCCCTTGAACCTCCTACCTACTCTTAAATAGTGTCCTCCTCTCAGAAATTGAAAGGCCTACATATATTCCAAGAGCTCAACCTCAAAAGGTAGATCTCACTACCTACAGATCTCCTACAAGCCTTTTATCCTCCAAAATAGTCCGACCTCCCCACATACATCGAGCGACAATTCCTACCTCCATCGTTTGCTTTCCCCTGAACTTGTACAAAATATTTGGCAAGTTCTTCAGTGAAGGGAGAGAGGCGGCACTGATCTCAGAACAAGAAAAGGATTTGCATTGCCACCTGGCTCTGACAAATGTATTAACGTCGAACTAACCGCTGCTTAGAGTTTCGTTCTAACAGAATTTTATCCAGTCAAAATCACAAAGACTTTTCTTTAGCAGGAGCATCGTGAGAAAGCTGCTCTGCCCCATCTCCTATTATTCCCGTGTGCTCCTTCCACGGTTTTATTCTGCAGTATTAATAGCCCCACTGGCACAGATGCTTTTTGATTTTCCTTGCAACAAAGACTAAAAAAAATTAATAGAGGAAAATATCCAAATGAATCCTCTCCCCAAAAGTAACAAACAAAAATGTATGTGCAGGCTCAACTCCCATAATTTTTTTTTTCCCAAATGCTGAGCACCCTATCTATCAGTCCTCAAAATATTCTTTTTCCCAGGATATTGTAAGCTGGCTTTTCAAGTATAGCAAAGTAGTTACCATAAAACAGGCATATTTGGCTGTCACCTAAGAGATTCTCTTATGTCTCTCCCATTTTGAGTTGATTTTCAAGGCTAGATCTACTTCTTATATAACAACATCGGCCTGATAACTGATCTAACGAGTCATCTTGATCTAACAACATTATCTTCATGAGCAAGCGCAATTCTAATTTTGCAACGTGGCTTTTTTGGAGTATTTCCTGCAGAATAAAGATGCAGAAGATGCGATAAGGGCTGAAATAACTTAATTTCCCAGTGCTGGCAGTGGCGCTTACCACTACAAATTCTTGTTTCCGACAAAGAATTAAGGTCAGATTTTTCTTCCCCCTCTGGAGAACCTAGCGGAGTTTGACTCCATTGAACTATGAAAGGCACTTAGGTGCTTAACTCTCCTAGCCTCATTTGAAAAGCCTATCCTGATGTTTGATGAGTCCAAAAGATGATCGTGAGGGTAAAAAGCAAAACAATATTGCTGCCAACACTGAATACAATCCGTCATATAGCTACAATGAGCTCTGCTGAGACTGTATGGACCGTTTCCTCCACGCGCGTTTGCTCACAAAACTGCACTGAACACAGATTTGCATACAGATGCAGATCACACCAGTGTGAACACGCACTATTTGACTTTACAAGTGCAAATGCTGAAGCTGAAGTGAAGCCCTAGGAAGAGGAAAGTTTAGTCTGCAAGTGCCGTGCTCACTTGCTGGGGATGGAAACTCGAGTTCAACGGGATCAATCCAAGTACTCCCATGCACATATTTAACGGGACAAGGATTTGACCCTGATGATGCCATCCACATCAGCTCCCATTTTACTGCCTTTCTGAACACATCACAGCGGAGAGTCAAACCAGTATGAGAATGGAACAGGTCACCGCATGATTAGCCACCTTCACTTTGAAATGCCGGGTGGATTTGTACCTAATCAAATCCGAACAGGACAGGGGATTCATAGATTCATAGATGTTGGGTGGGAAGGGACCTCCATAGATCATCGAGTCTGACCCCCTGCATAGGCAGGAAAGAGTGCTGGGTTCAGGTGACCCCAACCAGATGCTCATCCAACCTCCTCTTGAAGACCCCCAGGGTCAGGGAGAGCACCACCTCCCTTGGGAGCCCATTCCAGGTTTTGGCCACCCTTACTGTGAAGAAGTTCCTCCTAATGTCCAGTCTAAATCTGCTCTCTGCTAGCTTATGGCCATTGTTTCTTGTGACCCCCAGGGGTGCC